AGCACATCAATTTATGTGGACATTGTACAACAAGCATTCTAATTTTTTATTTAAAAAACTTTTATTAGGTATTCTATTCTGTGCATGTTCTGCAGTATTTAATTTCATTATTCTTAGGTATCAAGAAATGTTAGTGGGTGATTATGAGGTTGACAGCCTTGAGAGGTAAAATAATAATAATAATAATAATAATAATAATAATAATAATAATAATAATAATAATAATTGTGTATTATTGTTCAATATTAGGTTGGTATTGCCATCTGCTATAGAGAGGGAAAGGAGGAAGAGTAATTTTGAACATTATAAGGACACCACACTCTCAGCCTGTGAGTACATGTACATGTATGCATGTATACATTATTGGTTTTTAATTTACATGTAGTGTTTCTGTAGCTAATGGTTAGAGTATATGAGTAAGTTACGTAGGATGATAAAGATAATTAAAGAACCACTCCAGGTTAGTATAGGCTTACTGAGGGTAATAGCCATGTTTACTGGGTCATTCTTTCTCCTCTTTCTTCCTGTCTTTTGTTCTCTCTCTCTCTTCCCCTTTTATTCAATGAAGTCTGGTTTATATGATGTCCTCCCTACTACTATTGGAAGGTTTGGCTCCTGAGGATTTGAGGCTTTTGCTCTGTGGGTGTCAGCAGGTTGAACTTGATGTACTCAAAAAGATAACAACTTTCATCATTATTTTCAAGAGTCCAGATAATGGAATGGATTATCTTGTTATTATTGTTATTTTTTTCTCTCAGTTTAACATGCATGTAGATGTACATGTCAATTTTCTTTGCATTTATCATGTACTGTATGTACATGTACTCTTCCTGTCCTCCTCCTCTTAGTTTTATCAATGGATGTGGTATCTTGTGAGGCCAGTCATTCCCTGGCAGTGTGTGTCTTACTGTGTGTCTGGTCTATGACTATTGAGCTATTGGGACGGGTCTGTCCTGAGTCAGTTGGTAAACTCAAGCACTCAATATTCAACCAGTTGCAAGGTAAAGATATTTGACGGAATCAGCTCAAACTTTCTACATAGCATAAGGGCATCAAAATGTATCAAATAATTTGAGGTGACTTTAGAGCCAAATTTTGGAACAAGACATAAGCTAGAGCCTGTGATATTTTATCAAAAATTAGTTTTTTAATAAAATGCTTGTTACTTTAAAAAATATTTGTCATGCAGGATTGCTTTAAAATTTTTATGCAAAAGTACATCAATATTTGTGTTAGAAAATGTAATAAAAATTTTGGGTGGTTTTGAAGCTATTATTTACTCAAAAATCAGTTTAAATTCCCTGTATGATCATAAATCAATTTTTTTTTAAATGAAAAGAAGAGAAGTCTCTTTTTATACAATTTCCCTCAATACATGCATGTACATGTATACATGTTCTTAAGTTCTGTGAAAAGTTTGAGCTCATTCTGATCAAAATTGGATTTTCCCTCTTTTTAATAACTTGATTATTATTGTAGATGTTCTTGAATGGGAGGAGACTCTGTTGTTGCTAGCGCTATGGCAAGTTCATTTAGGCTCTGATGAGAACTTTATTAATGGACAATATTATTATTTGATTTTATTCATAATTATTATTTTGTTGTTTTGGTCGTTGTATTAATTTTGTTCTTGAATAATATTTTTTTACAAATACAGCTTTATTCCACTACTTCCTTTTCTTGCTCACACTTTTATTTACACCTTGAGGTGGTAACATTGAAGGTATTGAAACAACTTGCAGTTAATGCTCTTTTAGCAGCTAATAGATTAACAACAATGATACATAGAATGATTGTAGTATTGATGAGTAGTGAGTGATAGTCATTATATAGGACTGGTGGTGAATGCATACCATATCCTACATTATCTGATACATTACACCAGATCCATTGATGAATACACAAGATAAAAGTATCAATCTTTTAATGTTACACTAGAAGTCATTACATTGTCTATTGTCTCACAAGTGGTCAAGTCAATGAGATTGATATGACTAACGGGTTGTTGAAGAAGGACCTCCTCACAGGATTGACCCTTTACACTCCTAGATACACCACATGTATACACATGGGTAGATCTAATGAGTAAAGTTGCTGCACTGCATGCATCTAATAGGGCAAACGCAAGATTTTTGACATCTGCCTGTCTATTTCACTTGAGGTGTCAGAGACAGCCATAGATGGGAAGATAATGTTATTTTTAATTTTAATTTAATAAAGATTTTACAATAATGAAACAATGAATAATAGTACAAATGAAAGTAGGAAAATGCGATGAGAGTGCAACATTATTGAAGGGTTGCCAGCAAGCCCTGCTGACACCCTAAATACATAAAAGCTCATTGGGTAATAATAATAA